GTCAGGTCAGTGACTTGACTGATAATCTCATGTTTAAACGATATTTATGCAGTCTTCCTGTGGTGTAATTTGTCATTGAGACAGAAATGCAGTGGGTGCATTATGTTGAGAAATATTTAAAGAAGAATATTGTCTGAAATTTATTAGTAATTGTTACAAAATCTCTCTGGCAAGCCTTCAAGAAGAACGTCTTACCAAGTTGGCTGAGGAGAAAACTGCTTCCACGTAGAAGGTAATTTAAGTAAAGTATACAACATATACTTATTCTTGAGGCCAACTACACATTGTAGTAAACATAAACACTGTCGAGCTTAAAAGGTGGTTCAGGTGTTGCAGCACAGCTATTTTGGAGTAACGATGGCAAATATGAAAGAATTTTGCAAAGCATGACATGTATACCAGCTCAGCCAGTGCACCGTCAACCGTCCACCTCTACCCCCTTTTATGGAGAATAACTTTCGGTGATCGTGTCCAAGTTCATATTATTTACATTTTTCCAAGTTCCATATTTTGTTCCCACTGGATTGCCTAAAAATTTTTACTCAGACAATGGAGGAGAACATTTGAGTGAAATGACAAGTGAAAGAGATGGCGAGGTGATGTCCCATTTTTCAACAGCCGACCAAGATTGGAAAAGGGTAACATACTGTGGGAAGGAAACTGGTAGTGATGAAAGGTGAATTTAATCATGATGACGAGAATTACCATTTGTCTGAGTGGTTGGCTCGGATCATATATTGCATGAACTCGGAACATAACGAAGGCCTGAAAGACTCGCCATGTCGTGTTGTCTTCTGGAAGTAGCCACCAACCTTAGATGTTCCAGCAGTACAGTCAAGTGCTTAATAAAGGAGATCTGCCCCAAGCAGACGATACAAAATCCTGTCATCTCCAACAACACCATCAGTATCACTTACAAACTCCATCACCTTTGGGACTCGTCATACCAAGTCATAAGAGGTCAGAAAGAGGGAGAGACATGGTATAATTTATAAAGTATATGATGATCGAGTAAAGCGTTACTGCTTCGGAATATGGCATAATACAAGGACACTACTATTATGCAGGTAAAGTCAAGGCAAGTGAAGATAGTCAACACCTTATGTAAGGCCAAGCGATGTCCTTGTAAGTCAATGGAAACTGAGTGCACGACCCATTGTCATTTTTCCTCAGAGTGCCTCAACATGTAATTTTTCTTTGCAGATAATTGTAATTTTATTACCTTGCAATTTTAAATTGATGTATTTTATATGCAACGTCTTAATTGCAGTTGTAAGTAATTTGATGTCCTATGTTAGCTGAGATGTGTTTATGTCAACATGCATTACACTTGAAATAAATCTGATTTAATCTTGCAGTTTAAAATTGTATTTATTTTAAACATCTTCAAAATATAATACATTCATCAGATATCATTAACCTATACTTAAGCTTGGGTGGATGTTACTATCTAACTTGTGAGAAATGTAATTTTATTATTTGCTCCTATAGAGCGAGAGAAACCCGCAACGTGGACTCACTCAACGTTTATTGATTGATATGGTCAAAACCTGGAAAATGAGACACTCGTTAACTACTGATTACATTCCATTACATGCATACATTATACGTCAGTTAGTAAATACACTATTTTGTATGGTTATTATCCAAATTGCCTTACACTATGGACGTATGTAGTTCACAACATTTCACCATAATACAAATAATCACTGTGTTCTTTTACTCACGTGTGCCGGCTTATAGCTCCACTTAACTCCTGGTATCGCTCCAAGTAACTCCTAGTTATAGCTAGTGTGTGTACACTCAAAGGGGCTGGACGATACTGTTAGCCAGAGGCGTCCCGAGCCCCTATCTATGGTCATAACAACCAAAAACTTGTTGTGCGTCCACAAACATCTAGCGAGGTCACAGGTCGCGCGGCCACATGGGGTCAGAAGTCGCGGCGTACAAGGGCTACGATAACACTTCCCCCAGCCTACCGAGCCACATCCCTCTGAGTCCCCTCTGTCTCCAGCAACGCCTTCTTCAACGCCTGTCCCTGACTGGCCTCACCTGGCTGCAACACAGCAGTCCCGGCCGTCTCCTAACTCAACTACAACTGGGCCTACTCCCCGTCTCTACTCTGACGCTGTCAGGCCTTGTGCCCCCACCGGTGCCCCCCCACAACCCCCCTCCGGTGACGCAACACAGATCATATCCCCCTTACACGAATTTACCAACCATATTGAAAGACTCTTTGATACACTCTGTACCGCCATCTCCAACCTACACAGACTACCCCTGCCTCCAGCTGCTACCCAGTCACCCCCCTCTACTGGTTTGACACAACCTGGTATGTCCCCTGTGTGCCCCTCATGATCACGGCTTACTCCACCGCCGCCTGGCACCACTGCTGGCGTCCACACCGATCCTGCCCCGTGCCTGGCTGCCCCGTCCACCCACCGCGCGCTCATGGATCCGAGGACATCACCCCAGGCTCCCCGTCCCCCACCGGCATGCCGGCACCTGGGGCCCATCCACTCCAGTTCTCCACATCAATTGACCACCATGCGGACATGCTAGTGGACTACGTATCTACACCAAGAAGGACGTCCCCTACCAACCTCTCGACGTCCCCCTTAAAGCAGACACTACTGACGTACACGCCATCACAATCACACTAAAAGGTATGTCCCTCAATATTGTCAATGCCTATGGCCTGGCACTTGACATTATTAGGGACCTGCCACGCTTTGCCATAAGCAGATAAATTGTACCGGGAAGTTTCCCCCCACACACTCATCATTCTGTCACTTTATGTAACTTGCTGACAAAACCCATGACCCTTCAGGCTTTCACGCCCTTAATGTATGAGTCATAAAGGCAAGTATGAACTCCGCATGCTTCCCAGATGGGCACTGTAAACGCTTCTGTGCTTCACCTTGCACAGGATGTAAGGGGGTGCCCAATAAACTAGCCCCTTCGGGGGCAATCTAAAAAAATTCTTCCCCCATTGGGCTCATGCCCAAAACTCAGAACATTAAACGGCGCCCTCGAGGAGACTGATCTTGGTAACAGGTCGGAGAAACTCGCGGCCAGCAGTGTGCACACGAACCTGACGGACGAGACCATTTGCACTAGCAATCGCTTCGACAACCTGACCATGGGGCCACTTGCCACGAGGAAGGGTGTAAAGGCCTGGGACTTAGGGATAGAAATCCCTTACCAGGCTAATCAGGATCTTAATATAGGAAAGTCAAGGACCATGGTTTTCCGAGGAATAACAAACAACCGTTAGAGATTGGCATCTCTTTACTATAAAAATATATCACAAAACTCTGACACCACTCAACAATCATCAAATAATTTACGGGAGTCAAACAATTAATGGAAGCAACAATTAAAGGAATCAAACAAATAATGGGAGTCAACAATTAATGGATTCAAACAATTAAATGGAGTCAACAATTGATAGAATCGAACAATAAAGGGGAGTCAGCAATTAATGGAATCAAACAATGAACAAATATTTCCTACGGCAGTGGCCCTGGGGGAAGGTTCTGGAACGCGGTGATGCACACTCAGGGCAGGGAAGCGTCCATTCACTCCACACTCAGCAACGTCTTGAAAAGGCAGGAGAACACCGGGGCACCGACGGAATGGGACGAACTGATGGTCGTGGTATGCGGTAGTGGTAGATGACCAGAGAGTTGGCAGTTGATAGGTGAAGGTCTGGGAACACAGCCCACGAGTCCAGGACCTATGATGAGATCACAGCCAGAATTTTGACGGACAGCAGGGTAGCTAGATACTGACGGTATGGCGGCTGGGATGAATCTGCTCGTGGCGGAGATAGTCGCTGCCGTTATCACCTCCGTCCAACCACCCGAAGTGTCGTATGCACTAGCAAACGAGCGAGTTAGCAGCGGTAACTAGCCGGAGGATCGTTTCTGCCCTTACAAAGGGTTTCTCCGGTAATGAGAAGAAGATCGTTGACTTTGAAGTTACGGACAGGATGAAGATGTTTTTGCCGCTCGCGGAGAATCGGTAGGTATTCCTTGGTCCAGCGCTGCAAAACCGGTCTGCCAGAAACTGTGCATGTTACCACCTGCCTCGGTAGATGTCTTTCAGCGGGCATCCGCTGAGATGAGGGACTGGAGCAGAGTCACGTCCAAGTATATGTAGTGGAGTCAAGGCCTCCAAATCCTTGGCATCAGTTGACAATGCAGTTATTGGGCGGCTGTAAACGATCACTTCTGCCTCACAGAATAATGTCTGTAGTCACTAATCATCAACCACCTGAGACCCGACGATTGCCCTAAGCACCTTACGCGCTGTTCGGATTTGTCTTTCTCATATGCCTCTCATATGTGATGCCGTAGGGGGTTTGAACACCCACTCTACCCCCTTCTTCAGAAGATGTTGCTGTATGTGTTTGCCTGCCACCCAGTTGCGAGCGGCTGCCCTGAGATCTTTCCAGGCTCCAACCATGTTTGTGCCATTATCTGAGCGGAGGCATTCAGGAGTACCTCTGCCCGCCATGAAACGGGTGATATCTTTTATGAGAGCGTCGGCATCAAGAGAGTTGAATACTTCCAGTTGGACTGCAAGGGTTGTGAACAGACACCCATAGCGCTTGGCTATCCTGCGCCCTTGGTTGGTATGCAACTGACCAAAACAATCCAATCCTGTGTAGGCAAATGCAAGCTTTCCTGGGCAGGTCCAATCTGCTGGCAGTACGGCTTACCTTTCATGCATGGACACCCAGTTGTTGCGACGGCAGACAGTGCATGCCTTGGAACCTTATCCAGCAGTCCACGACTCTTATGTATCCAGAAATTTTGACGCAACAATGAAAGCGTGTGCTCCCTTCCAGAATGTCCTGCATGTACTGCATGTGTTTCTTGTACAATTAGCGTAGTCACCGGGCGATCACGCGGGAGCAGTATTGGCCCATCATGTGTTGCCACCCATTCACGGTGCATCCTTCCTCCAACCCTCATCAGGCCATCTTCAGGCATTTATGGTTCTAGACGATATAGCTCACTCTGGAGAGTCAACCTTTTCTTTGCAATGAGCCTCATTTCTTTTTGGCACCGCTCTCTCTTTATTGCTCTAAAAATTACTGTCTTGGCTTGGCGTAACTCTGACACACGTAACATGGTGATGTTTGCTGTCGGTATTTTATCTTTGAGGACGTTGATAATCCTCCGGATCCAAGATACTCCTTTTTGAAGTTGGAGCCAAGAAGAGCACTTTTCCCACAGGCATTGCAAGGGTTCTTTGGTCCTGTCTACTATGGAGGTCAGTGAAGTCACGTCCCCTTTCACTTCAGGATCGCCCTCGAGCCCCATGTCAACCTGCGGTGCCTTTGGCCAATGCTCGGGAGATAGTGTTATAAATCTTGGACCCAGGACCCAGGATCCTCGTGCTGCATCATCTGCCGGGTTCTGCTCTGAGATGACATATCTCCATTGCCTCATGTCTGTGACTTCTCTTATATCCGACACTCTGTTTGCAACAAAGGTGTGGAAGCGTTTCCCAGCGCTACCAATATACTTCAACACTATCATACTATCCGTCCTAATCACAGAATCCATCAGTGGTACAATGAATTCATGTCGCACTGTTGTGTCAGCATATGCTGCCAGTACGGCAGCATAAAGTTCTAGCCGTGGTATGGTTTGTTGCTTTAAAGGTGCTAGTCAGGCTCTGCCGCACACAATTCTTCCTTCCTGGTGTACAGTCCTCAGGTAGGTGACAACCGCATAAGTTGATTGAGAAGCGTCGCAGAAGTAATGTAACTGAGCAGAGGCAATGCGGCTTAGACCAACTTGTGTATAGCAGCGTGTAATCTGGAAATCCTGCAGCAGTTTCAGGTCCGACAAACAACACTGCCACATGACTAGGTTGTGGTCAAGAAGAGGTACTTCCCAATTTTCTTGTCTCCTGCACTCGTTCTGGAAGATGATGTTTGCCTTGATGTTGAAAGGACAGATGAGACTCAGCAGGTCATAGACAGAGATTACAATGCTTAGAAGCCCCCTTTTGTCATAGGCCAGATTTGTACTTTTACCTTTGCAGCAAACTGGTCCTTTTCCAAATGCCACATCACTCCCAGGGCTCTCTGTGGGAAAATTGTCATAGGTGAAGTCCACTTCCTTGATCCCGGTGTACCGCTTTTCCATGGGGGGGTAGTGCTGAGTACTCCTTTGTGATTACTTATCCATATTGTAAGCTTGAATCTCCCTCTTAGCAAGAGTTCTTGCAGTTGGTGTGCCATGGAAATTGCTTCCTCAGGACCAGTAACAGACACAAGCAAGTCGTCCACGTATAAGCTCTGTCTAGCTCTGGTGGTCGCTACGGGGAATTCTGAACCATAATCCCGGAAAGTTCTCTGCAATGCATAAGTAGCACAAGATGGATTCCACACCCCTCCAAAGATATGCACTGTCATTCGGTAAGCAGGTGAGGGTCCCGACAGGTCTACATTTTCCCACCAGAGGAATTTTAGGGCATCCCTGTGTTCAGGGTGCACCTTAACCTGATGAAACATGGCTTCAATATCAGCCATCAGCGCAATCGGCTCCCGACGAAATCTTATGAGGACTCCAATGAGTTTGTTGTTGAAGTCTGGCCCTTGAAGTACCATGTTGTTTAGTGACACGTTGGCAAATGTTGCAGCACAATCGAAAACAATGTGAGTCTTCTCTGGTTTGTTTGGATTTAGTACTGGATGATGAGGCAGATGCCAAGTTCTTCCAGGATTTGCTGTTACTTCCCCTTTTGGAACCTTCTCCGCAAAGCTCTTAGTGAATAAATTTTCAATTTCTGCAACATATCTTAGTTTCAGCTCTGCATTTCTTAGGAGGCGTTTTCTCAGACCATTCAGACGCCTGATAACAAGTGATCTGTTGTCAGGTAGGTTAGGTGGTTCTCGCCGGAATGGAATGGGAAACTGGCAGTGTCCATTTATCATCGCACCTGTCGATGATCAGAGCTGGACGACTCTTTTGTCCTCCAGCGACACTGGCGCATCAATTGTAGTTTTTTCAAAGGGGATCTCCAATTCCCAAAAGCGCCCTACTTGTGCCTCAAAATGTTTCTCAGCAGGAGGGAGACTCGGTGGTGAGCCCGGACAGCAAGAGTAGTAACATTTTCATTGGGCCATTGGACCATTTACAGTCCATCCGAGTTGAGTCCTCAATGCAAATGGTGCTCCATTTCGTCCTGTCCGGCACTCTAATGGAATCAAGGCTTTTGGACAACACTGCCCTATTAGTAGTTCAATGTCTTGAACATCAGACACAGGTGGTATGATTTCTTGAAGATGTCCCCAATCCATTACATCCATAGTGGACGCTACTGAGTCTCCCAGTAACGAGGGCAAGCGGTCAATTACCAGTACACATTGGAGTTATAGTGTACGTTTAGACCTTCCAACCCGCGTGCCTTTGACTTCCAAATCTATCTCCAATGTGTGTCGTTGTTCTTCATGGGTAAGAGTGTCAACAAAGAGTAACACTGGTTTTCCATACGTCTTCAATCACTGCAGTAGACTCTTCGCACAGAAGGACCGATTACTGCCGGAGTGCAGGAGAGCATTTGTTCTTGTCGTGTGCCTTGAGTTTGGCTCCTTTACCTCCACCTCCAACAGTGAAAGAGCCAACCTGCTCTTCTCTAGTAATTGACTGGGTCCTGCCTTCTCCCTCTTGGTTGACTTGATTGAGTAGTCACATGTGTCCCGAGTCCATTCATCACGGTCACGAGACTTACTCTTATCTGTTTCTTGGCTCTGGCGTCTATTTCGATCCCTTTTCCTTTGTATCGACTTGGGAGAAGGGTGTAACCATCTGGAGTGTAACTCTGAACACCCATCAATGTCACACGGTAAGTATCCCATCGGACACGCATTGGCCTGGTGTCCCTTTCTGAAACACAGGAAGCAGTACCGCATTCGTTGTACAGTTCGGGTTCTCTTAAATACTTCCACAGTAGGAAACTTGTGGCAATGATTAAGTTATGATCTTCTGAGCAGAGCGAGCAATCCTGCGCTCTGCTCCCGTGATAGCCAGCCCTACAGCACGCCTGCTAGTATTATTGCTGGCATATCGTCTATTTCTGGCTCCCTATGTTTCTATGTATGCCTCTCTTGCATTACCAGTACTAGCGGCCTTCTGTATGAAACCCCAGAGATGTTCTAACCCTGGTTCATTTTCTCCTTGAGCTTCAAACTCCTCCATTTTGCTTCGGTATTTTTCGCGCATGTGACTGGGTAACTTCTCAACCAACAATTCTTTCCCCAACAGATTGTCAACTTGCCACAGTGCACCGCGGGGCTCTAAGTTACAGTTACGTACATTCAGCCTGTCTGCTAGGCATTGAAGTCCCGCTCTGCCATTTGTATGCACTGACGTGGTCAACATCAAGTACTGAATCTCTTCACGAATAAAGGCATCTTCTCCACCAAATCGTATCCGCAGTGTTTTTAGAGCCCGTTGATAACAGTTTTCTACAGTACTCTATGAGTATAGGTGGCCTTCAATTTCTTCAGAACAAGCCTGCAGGAGGATGTGCATCTTCTTAGGGTCAGACATCTGGGTCTTGTCTACAGCGTCGTTGAAGCAATGTATAAAGCTCCAATACTCGCGACGGCTTTTCCCTTTGAAGGTGGGAAGGCGCATGGCTTGGGAGTGTAAGGCTGACATGACCCTGTCCAGCACCTCCCATGGCTCCTTTCTTCTCAAATCTGCAGACTGTGATGGTATAACCTCATTTTTGCCAAGAGTAGCCTCATTCTTGTGTGTGGTCGTATCACTTTGGTTTCTTCCATGGCTCCTTTTTTCCCTCACCGGTTGATCCTCCCCCGATGAGGCCGTGCACCTCCTTCAAGTTTGCTAAGTTGGGTTTTCTTGACAAGGCCATTGCCCTTCCTTGTAGCTGCAGGCTTGACTATACCTTCTTTGGAGATGAAATCTTCAATGTAGCTTTCCGGACCTTCCATCAGCGCACTCCTCCAATGGTCGCTGGTTTCTGGCATTCGGCTAGTTCCTGGTTGGGGTGATTCGTGCCTATCGCTGACAGTTGGTACTCTTTCCAATTCATCTTGCTTTTCCGTCGTAGGGCCAGCTAGCAGTGGTTGTCGATCATTTTCCACATCTAGATCAATTTCTTGTGGCCTCTCATTGCTTTCTTTGTCTGTTATTTTGTTCAGTTGGGTGTGGTTGTTTGTAATTTGTGGTGGTGTATGGGAACAGTTCAGCTGCTCCTGGCAATAGCAAACAAGTACACACATTAATGTGCCTGGGGGCTGGTTTTGACAATAGCGAGCAAATAAACTATGTGTCTGGGTGCTGGTTCTGTCAATAGTAAGCAAGCACACACTGATGTGTCTAGGGGACTGGTATAAGCACACACTCCGCTGTGCCTTGGGAGTTGGTACAAGTGCACACTTTTGTCTTAGTGGCCCTGACACTTTAGGTACACATGCTTTAGACCGAATATATTAGTTGTTTTGTGGATAACCAAACACGTCTCCGACGCTAAGTCATCACAGCACAACGACTACAAGTGGCGACGCCGCCTGCCAGCAGTGGTGCGCCACGACAGGCCAAGTTTCCCGTCGGTGCTGCACCCGCCCCACACCTGTCGTCCTCGGTTTCACTACGGAAGTTTGAAGCCTGGCGCCACATGTTTAAGGGGTACGTGACGTTGACGAAAATCTCCTCCCTGCCCCCAGCCGAGCAGAGAGCAGCACTTCTGTCCGTGCTGGACGACGAGGGGACACGAATCCTTCGCTACGGAATTGGTGTAGCTGACGACACAGAGTTGGAGCCTGTCCTCGATACGATGGAGGAGTATCTTTGCGGGCAGTGTAACGTCATCGTGGACCGGAGGGACTTCTACTCAAGAGTTCAAGAACCGGGTCAAACGTTTGACGACTTCCTGTGTGCTGTGAATGAAGTAGCAAATTTCTGTGACTTTTTTGAGTTTTGTATAGACAATCGCCTTAGAAACCGGATTGTTATCGGTACTCGTGATGAGGAACCATTAAAACGTATGCTTGAAGAGAAAGACCTGAAATTGCAAAGTACTATCGACATATGCCGAGCTTCAGAAAATGCTAATGTGAGCAGTGCAGTGATTCGAGGCTCGGCGAGTCATACGTTAGCCAAAGTGTCTCGGTACAAGCAAAATCGGAGTGCCAGTGCAAAAGTCAAGACCGGTTTATGCTTTAGGTGTGGCAAAGACTGTCATAGGGACACGCAAGGGAGCAAGGCTGTGTATAAAGACTGTTTGAACTGCGGTAAACGAGGCAATTTTGCTGTTGTGTGTCAGAAACCCGGTCGAGTCTCACGTGACAAGGCTAAGGATCCTCCGAAGCAGTTCTCGAAACTAGGCCCAGGGGCTAAGCATGAGGATAGAGCCATTCACCGGCTCCTGGTGGGGATTTGCACCAACAGAGTGTCAGTGCGTCCGGCTCCACAGGTGGTAGTCGACGCTACCCACCCTGCAGGGCGCGTCACCGTCGTTTGGACACCCGGATCCGGGGCCAAGGCAATGGTCATGGGGC